CAGATGGGCTTTGGGTCTCCGCTCCAGCCCCCCTCGTTCTCAACAATATGTTTTTGTTGGTTATGTGTCTGCTGATGCCTATTACGTGGTCCCCATGACTCCTCATGATCGCACCGGCACTGTGCTTCTTTCACGTGGACTTGTTGCTTCTCTGCTGGATGGCAGCTTGTGTAACTTCAAGACTTCAAGACCCCAGACACCATCTTTTAATAGATGGGAATCATCCGCCTTCTTCACCACATTTGCTTATGCACCCGTTTGTCTTCAGCGATTGTGTCGGGAGGGTGAACATCTCAGACTGTCGATTGGTTAGAACAAAGTGTTCCTGTATTGAGGGAGGCCCAAAGCCCATTCCCTACCTCAGTGTATTGCTGTATAAATATACGTACCTGGGCCATTACCTCCATTTTGTGGATTAATGGATTTACAGATGTGCACCGCTATGTTATACCTCTATCCATTGCTTGGCTTCCTCGGTCCTTCCTCTGTTTCCTTTTATCTTCCTCCTGCCTCACTGCCACTTTCCCCTTATTTCCGCCTCTTGGTACCTCCTCTTAGCTAGTTTGCTGCGACACCCCCACCCCCACCTCCTCAGATCCCTATCTCCTCTTGTTATTGACTCCAACACTCCAGTTGTTCCCTTGTCCACTGCAGAGCCTGCTTGTCATTACACATGTTAACTGAGCTATTAAATTAGCATTGATATTAAAATATATCACTCCATCAAAACTCCCCCAATGCACAAGACAAATGCCAGCAAGAACCAAAGAACAGCACTTTCACCATTTTTAAAACACAGTTTTTTAGTAGATGAAGGTTTGAAACAAAATAGTAGCCTGCTTTTGTATATTTTTAAGTAAGATTGCAATGTTGCAATGGGAATGACTCATGTTTTTCAGATACGATGTTTTTAAAATAAAGACTAGAAACAAGTAAGCAGTGAAAAACTCTCTTGAAGGAAGAGATTTATCTAACTGAATGTGTCTGGATTAAATAAAACCTTTTTGTCCAAATTGATTTTAATAGCAGTAGTGTGTAGGTACAATTTGTTCCAAAGCAAAATTACATTTATTTGTATATTGCATAACTGGTCCATTCTTTATTTACAATAAAGTACTTGATGTTCTAGAAACCACCTGTATCTTTTTCAAATTAGCCATTAATATTTATTTGATGTGAATAAATCATCCTGTCCCCATGTAATTTCTGTTGGTAGCACAGGTAGCTGAACCTAATAAAATCCTTTTTCTTTCCTCTATGTTCTTTTATTTGTTTTCTGAAATTCTATTGTGTAGTTGGCTCAAAAGGCAAAAAAAATTTCTTTTACATAATACTATTACTACATGATAAAGAATCAAATGAACATATTGATCTCAGTACATACGTTTATGCCAGTATGTGCATAACTTTTCAAGTAAAGTGTCACAATTAAATGTATTCAGTAAAGTATAATTAATAAAATAATGTCATTTTACCTGATAATCATTAGTAAAATCACTTAAACATTGCATTCCTCAGAATAATCAGTCAGGGCTCCAAACTCTTTTACAGGGATTTAGTCTACCTTTGTTGAACTCTCTTTCTTGCTTTACTTTTTTTTGGTACTCATTTTATTGGGGGTCATATAGCTCTTATCACAATCCATACATCCATCCTTGTGTCAAGCACATCTGTACATTTGTTGCCATCATCGTTTTAAAAACATTTTCTTTCTACTTGAGCCCTTGGTATCAGCTCATTATTCTTTTCGCCCTCTCCCCCACCCCCCCTCCCTCATGAACCCTTGATAATTTATAAATTATTATTTTTTCATGTCTTACACTGACCGGTCTCCCTTCACCGACTTTTCTGTTGTCCATCCCCCTGGGAGGGGGTTATATTGTAGATCATTGTGATGGGTTCCCTCTTTCTCCCCCAACCTCCCCTTTCCCCTCCTGGTATCACTACTCTCAAATATTTCATTTTACAATGCGTGTATCAGGGTTGCATCTTCTCACCATACTTATTCAAACTGAATGCTAAGCACATAATCAGAAAAGCTCTATTATATGAAGAAGACTGGGTGTGAGAATTGGGGGGAGGTTTAATAATAACCTGTGATATGCAGATATGCTGGCTGAAAGTGAGGAAGATTTGGAGCACTTGCTCATGATCATCAATTATTACACCCTTCAGTATGGATTATAACAATGTAAATGATATAGTTAAAGTTTGTTGTGCCAACCTGGCCGATAAACACATGTGGGGTTAATTGAAGGGCGGAAGATGATTGGCTTGGTGAGCCTTGCCTTTCGAGTTCTCGGGTCTCTTGCTTTGTGATGGTTGGACCAGGATGCAGCTGCCTTAGCCAGTTTCCTGCTTTGGGTGGCAAGACTTACATCCCCAAGGAGATGCCGCATGGACCTATCCTGATGCAGCCCTGGGTGGTGGAGCAGCCACGTTGAGTCCCCTGCCAGTGCTGAAATGTTTACACATTCACTGATTCGGCTTTCTTCCTGCAGTCGGTGTCAGAGTGTGTGTTTTGTGAGATGGAGGAGGATTTTGTAGATTGGTGTCTGACATATGGGTTAATATTGGACTTGTGGGCTTGGTCGTGGAGCAGCCACGTTGAGTCCCCTGCCAGTGCTGAAATGTTTACACATTCACTGATTCGGCTTTCTTCCTGCAGTCGGTGTCAGAATGTGTGTTTTGTGAGATGGAGGAGGATTTTGTAGATTGGTGTC